ATGATGATGATGATGATGATGATGATGATGTATCAAACATATAGTATCTGGAGTAGGGTTTACAAAGTACTTTTCACATGACAACCTTTGAGGTGTCTATTTCTTATGTCTGCCAGCTCTTTATGTCACCAACTATAAGCATAAACAGTGATCATTACAACCTGATACAAAAAATAACACCTTAAATTATATAGTGCTTTAGAAGTGCTTCTTCATATGTTTATTTTAGGTGTAAGTTTTTAATCAATAGAAAAGTTACTGGAAGTAAGAAACTCGGAGTGAATTTGAAACTGGTGAGGAGAGATGGAAAGCATGTGATCAAAGAAAAGATTAAAATTTTTTAAAAAGTTGGAAAATCAATAGGAATAGTACATATGGTAAACCAAAGAAATCCACTGGAACTGCAATCTGGTATCTGAAATGAAAGCACAGCACTGGACATAGAAACCTGAGTTCAAATCCTATTTCCTATGTTTACTGATGTATGTCACTGGGGATGTTATCAGTATATGGGGATATGTCATAGTTGTAAGGCTCAAGTGAAAAAGGCACTTTCCAAACCTTAAGAGATAAGATAAATATAGCTATACAAACGTAAGCTGCTATTGATGGTGATGTTATTATTATCAATAACACCACCTCACTTGGTGATACATAATCCTGGCAAAATAATCCAAGAAAAATAATGGTGATTCAAGTCTTTTCCAACTATAGCAAATGCCCTATTAATAACTGCTTTAAAATTATTGTCAAGATGTTTCCTGTATCTTTAGTCTTCCCAGCTAGATTACAATTTTATTTTTAAGGAAGAAGTAATCTTGTATCAGAATGGGAAATTAAAAAATTCTTGTTGCATCACTGATCATGGCTTTATGAAGTAGGTGAAATAAAATTATATTTATGAAAATAACCCTAATATATTTCTTTATTGATTAGGAATGAATGGATCAGAAATAAGGGAAACTTTAGAAATAAGTTAACTTTAGGATTCTTAACAACTTCTAAAAACATTCAGGCCTGCTCGACAGTTGCCAAGTTCTGATCTTATTAATGTAGGCAAAGATAATCATATTTTTATTTTCACTTCTCCTAAATCTGCTTTACTGCAAGCTCATGTTCACTTTTCCAAGTTGTAACCTCAAGCAATACTATAATTCCAAGAGACTGGAGTTTGACCATATATAAGGAAGAAATTCATTTATCAAATAAGGATAAAGGATCTCTTATAAGGAAAATAGATAAAATCTATCTTAAATAGTTTAGGTTAGAGAAAGAAAGACAGATTTGAGGACTATTTGCAATAACTTCTAACTCTATGGAAATGCAAACCTACCTTTGTTTCTACTGCTTATAAGTACAAAGAAATATCACAACAAAAACAAAGTCACCTCTTCAGTATATTTTATGAAGAAATGTTCTTTAGCTTCCGACCCCTATAAGAGGACTGAAGTCACTCAATGGAAGGAAAAGGGAAAGATTTAAAGTAGACTACTATGAAAATTCCTTCCCCTTGTATAAATGTCTTTTTAATACAATTTGAAGCCCTCACTATCTGAGAATTTGTATCCAGTTTATGCTTGGGAGTCTCTCTGATAATAATTGTGCCAAAAAGTTCTCATGCACTGACTACAAATTAGAAAAGGAAGAACTGTCTTGTATACCCACAGGACTTCCTTACCCAGGTTGGAATACTACTGAGCCAATTCTTTCTTTTGCATAAATACATGGTAAATACAAGACATAAACAAAATGATTCAAATTGTTTTCCATTTCTTGAACTAGTAACTGTTAATAGTAACTGTTAAAATTATAACTATTCAGAAGGAATAATCTCACTTTGAAAAAGATAAAATATATCCTTAAGTAAACAAATTAATTTAGTGAAAGAAAGCATATGTTTGGGGAAAAACCCCAAAGTATTTGCTAAGTCAACTACACTTGAAAAAAGTCACATTTAAAATGATTTAAAATATCCACTTAAAACAGTAACTATCAGTAGTTAGTTTTACGGACATTAAAGTACCTTAGTGGATGTAAGTTGGGGGTGCTAAATGATGAGTGGTAAATAGCCTCTTGCTTAACAGAGATTCCTTATGGTAGCTTTGAGTTCCATAAATGGGATGATGTTTATACTTTTGTCCTAAAGGCATATTCTGTTGGGTTGGGAAACAAGTTGTTTTGCTCTTGCCTATGAATTTAACTGGAAGCAGAGAGAAAAGATCTTATCCATTCATATCATCAATATCAATGCTTTCCATCAATTTTAGTACCTTTCCAAGTTTCCAATACTGAAACATAAGCAGAGGAGTTAGTTAACTTCACCATTGACCCCTCAAAATTCAAGATGACAAGAAGAGCTGGACTTTTAACTAATAACTGAAGAGTTCTGCAAGTTTAAATATGAAAGATACAATAAAAGTAGTTTAAAAAACACAGATTAAGAATTTACTTATTAGAAGAAAAGCATTCAAAGTGCTTCAAATTATTCTCATTTTTTTTTATTCCATATGGATATTTGTTATAAACAAAGAGGTATATTATAGCTTGTGAAACAATATCTCATTATTCACTATTCATGTAGGTGAGGGGGCAGAGTTTTTCTGGGCTTTTAATTAAAAGAGAAACAAAAAGAGTACCTCCCACAAATTCTAAAATCATATACACCAGAAGTAGGTGTTTATATAGCCCGTTTATTCATGAGTTCAAAAAAATTATGTGATATACTTCAAGAGGTACTGCAAAGAATACAAAGATGATTAATATATAGTTTATTGTGAGTATAAAAATATAATAAAAAGCATAAGGAACAATGAACTTAGATAAGGACATCAGTTCAAATGTATTTTTAGTGACAGCAAATATTACAAAGGGATGTAAATTAGGGTTGACGAGAATAATTTCCTAATGAAAGTAAAAATTCAAAGCACCAATAAAAATGTCATTAGCTCAGGGGCCTAAGAGTTCTAAGGATCAAAGAAAGGTGAAATTAAATGTCAACACTGTTTAACATATTTACTACCATGCTTATAAATGGGATCAAATGTTTAACTTAATATGCTCCGTGTTACACATAACTGTCAATATAGTCATGTTAAGTTAACTCTTACGACTCATTCACCTTGACTTCTTCCATAGCATTTTAACTCCACTCTGAAAAACTCTCTCCTACATAAATTTCTAGATAATTAAAATATACATGAAATGTCAAAGGCTCACATTATAATGTAATCTTCTATCAAGTCAGCAAACATTTATTAAGCACCCACTGCAAGACAGACATGGTGGCACTGGGGATATAAAGAAAGGCAAAAGGCAATCCCTGCCCTCAAGAAGCTCAAAATCTAATGATGAAATCAATATGCAAGCAACTATTTACAAAAAAATTTTACAGGATAGAATACAGATAATGACAAAGAGAAGGCACTATAACGGCAGGAGACTTGCAAAAACTTCTTGCAGAAGGTCAGATTTGAATTAAGACTTGAAGGAAGAAAAGGAAACCAGGAGATAGAGCTCAGAAGACAGAAAATTCCAGGCTTAGGAGACAGCCAATGAAAATGCATGGAGTTTTAGTCTTCTTATATCTTAACCACTACGTCTACGATTCTTCTTCTCATCCTGTGATAACAGGTATTCTGCAAGACTGATTTTCCAGAACACTGTACTTCTCTATATTCTCTTCCTTAGGAAATGTATTTGTTTTCAAGGTTTCACCTGTCATCTCTATATATGTAAATGACAATCAAATCACATCTACAGTTCTGACCTCTACCTTCAGTTCTTCTACTCACCCAGCTAGCACTAGCAATGTCTATCTCAAATTCATCTTTCACATTTTTCCGAGATTAGTCTTCCTAAAACAATATTTGTATCATGATAGTCACTTTCTTAAAATATTCAGTTTTATAACACAATTTACTTTAACGGTGGTCAGCTGTGATTCAGATGGTATAAATAAGGTGCACGTACATGTTCTTCCTTCCCAACAAGCTCACTCTATTTTCAATTCTTGTCTTGAAAAGCACAAGTTTCATGATTTATAGGAATCAAAATAATTGGTTGAACTTACAAAATAACAAATAAAGCACTACAGATTTAAACCTGCTAAAACTAAGCATTCTAATATTTTTCTCCATGTAAAGAGGAGACATTTAAGAGAAAAGGGAATATGGTTTGGACTATATGACTTTGTTAGTCAATCAGCAAATATCTGAAAGTAAGTGATATCATACTTGTAGAAAAGCATCAGAGAATTAATCTAGATCTACCATCTATGTCACAGAAAGCCTGGGGGGGGGGGGAGGCATTCAACAGAAATAACAGAGTTAATTTGAAAGAGTAGTCTGATGAAGGAATTAGGAATTAGGAATTATATTAGTGGGCCAGCCTTTGAGAGCATTAAGCAAAAGCAATGTTTAAGTAAAAATGGGACCTGGCTTCCTTTATTTTTTATGTTGATTTTCAACATATCTTCTTGACAGTCACTGTACTGGTTTCAATATCTTTCTACAACAGCCTACTATGAACCTCAATGATATTTATAGCTCTATCAAGATATTGGTTGAATTGTTTCAAAGAACAATGATTAATGGGAGGAAATACAGTGAAGGAAAAGGTTCTCTAATTCAATATTTTAAATTATGCCCTCAGGTGAGATATTCCACTTTTCCACCTATTTAAAATGAGTGTTTATACTCTATGAAAAGGAACTCTGAACAGCAGTTATCAAAGACTATCTTATCATTGCTTCTGCAAACAATAAACTCAGTGCCTCCTTTTTTACAATCCAGTAAATGACAGTACAACATAAGAAACCACCTCTAAGTAACTACGAAGGGATGGGATCCTTACATTATCCTTATTTGTATAGGTATCAACTATACATTTTCACTTTTAGTTACTTAGAAACTTGAGAGTATCAACACAGCCTACTGAAATCATACATTAATAGGATGAAAGTAGATAAGAAGAACATTCAATTCATAAATATTGTTGATTACCATGGTTACAAGCTTTCAGAACAGGCCTCTGTGAGATCGGACTGAGACTTTGTCGGATATCTATTTAAAAAAAATAGCAACAAAAGAAACTTAATATAACAATCTATTCCTCAAAATCATAACTATTTTAGCTAGGTTTTTTTTCTCCTCAGATTAAATGTTTCTGAAAGCAAGGCAATGCTATACTACCAATGAAATACTTGACTTAGTAGAGAATGTTGTGACTTCCACTTCTCATTCAACTTTTATACTATGATCTCCAAAAAGATAAGATACATATGGTTCTGCAGCTGAATTTTGTCATGCTAATAAGTCTATGTTAAGTTCAGCATATAGATTTGTAAATGGTACTGATGTCAGCCAACCGGACTGAGCATCTGTGACATCTGTTATTGCAAGGAAAGGATTAAACAAAATGGTAGAACTTCTTAACAGTCATAGCCCAGAGCAGTGCATTCATCACGTATTTCTTTAAAGAAATAATAAAAATAATAATAAAAGGTTCTTCTATGTTATAATTCCCTAGAAACTAACATGAAACAAGTGTAATATTCACCTTTAGGCCGGGGTGTCCTTTTTCTTCGGTCTCGGAAAGCAGCACCTGATTGCAAGGCCTCCAGCAGACTATCCATCACTCCTGTCTCATCACCCTCTGTGAAAAGAGATTGAGGGAATTCCATCAGCCCTGAGGGTTACCATAGCAATGTCAAAGACAACACAGGGGTTGGAATAGTTAAAGGTAGGGGAAAAAAGACCAAATGCCAAGAGGAAACCAGCAATTTCAAATTGAGAGAGATCTTTAACTCACTTATAAATCAGCTGTCTCTTAATGAAATTTACCTCATTAGTGTTTGTGTTGCTATCTGGTAAAGAGTAACCAGATTCAACTGATTCACTTCAGAGCACTGCTCTTTATGTAAGTGCAGCCACAAAATAACCTTAAGTGGAAAGTAGCTTCTGTCAGAACTGTTTCATAACCAGATTATCAAAAATCACATTTTCCTTCCAGAAACAGGTTACTTTCAAGGCAATGGCTTTTATTCTAAAGTTGACCAGAGGCTTAGAAGGGTGTTTGTTGTTAGAGGTGCTGCTGAATGAATTCAGAGTACGAAATTACATATTTGCACACTAAATTTTGTTAGCATGTTCCTGGTAAATTATCATTCATACTTCATCATAATGATCTTCTGACTCTAGGAGTCAAAGGAAAACTCATCAGACACTGAAGTGTACTGAAGGATAGAGCAGAAATGGTCTTTTGAGACTAGGGAGAAACTTCCCTACTCCAAGCTCACAGAGAATTAATTAAAAGACATAATCATTTGAGCTGGATATACAGTCTATAAATAACAAAGGTTTTGTGTGTGTGTGTGTGTGTGTGTGTGTGTATCACAAAACCTTCTGAATTAAACTCCAAGTTTAATTATGCGTGCATGTACATATGTATGTATGTATATGTATAGGTGCATGTATATGTTGTATATGTACATGCATGTGTGTATGGTATGTATATTGTGTATATATCTGCATGCACATGTGTGTATATAAATATATGTGTAAAGATACACATACACACATAATTTATGGTGTTATATATAGATATAGACATATAGATATACACATGAATAATCTACATAACTTTCAGTCCTAAATGCTGAGAAGTGAAAAGAACTCTAAGCAAACGGCTTCCCAATACTACCTTTTTAAAAAACCACAGTTCAACACAATGCCATTAAATAATTGATGCATACTTAGAATTTAAAATACAACAGTTTGCCTCCACTAGCTTTTAATTTTTTTTAATGGAAATATTGTCCCTGTATATTATATTAAGAATTTGATAAATAAAAAGTAGTAAAAGCAGCACATGTATTATACTAGATATTTAAATATTTTTAAGGTATACAAAAATACAAGCATCATCTTTAGAAGACTGACTACCAAGTAATGGGATGGGGGAGACACATCTATTAATGAAAACCATATGGATTATAATATGAATTGGTGGAAAGAACAATCACATTGATGAAATCACGATTATTAGGGCATTTTAGTAAATATTATTTAATTATACTTTCAAAGTTTAAAATAATTTTAGTAGAAACACTACTTTAAATTCACTCAAAGTTGATGACAATATATGAAGTTAGTCAGAAGGAAAGGTTTTCCAGGAAAGATATTAAGATTGTTCTTTGGTAGGTTGAGTTTGAAACCTCAGTCTACAAGGCATAGCTGAAGCTTGCAGCCTGAATGCAGACAAAGAGCAGAGGAGGGCCAAAGACAGAAGAAGCTTGGGTGAATATCTACATTAAAGGGTCCAGAAGAGGAATTAGAGCATGTCATAAACTGCTAAGCTCCATGACAGCTTGGCTCATGCCTCATCTAAAGTCTACATTGTATCTTAAAGCAGCCTTTCACTTACAGAAGATAATCAATGTTGGTTTAAATGAACTGAATATGTCCCAGTGTGGGGAACATTGGAGGAGGCGACAGAAACAGAAACGGCATAACAAAATGGGAAAAACTTGAGTTATTCCTCTTACCACTTAGGTTCATAATGGAACATAAAAAATGATCACCTTTCACATGTGTGCAACTTTTCCTGGCTCTCCATTGCTCATGCAGGTAAGGGAACTTGGAATGACGATGTGATTTACAGAAGGAGCACAAACTGGGCTACGATCCAGAAGCTACAGTTCCTAGTGGACCAAGATCAAGCAGCCAGCTTTCATGGTTTATTTAGGAGCAGTGACAAATGGGGTGACCAACACTGAAACTTGTTGGGACCTTCAAGATATTTCTTTGGGAGCTTTCTTAGTTCCCCAGGGACCTCAACACTTTTGCCCCTCCTTATTAAGTAGCACTTGCCTTTACTGAACCCGAGCATCACCTCACCTGAGTATCAAAGGCCATAAGCTTGATGCCAAAGTCCAATTATGATATGACATGCCCCATGACTGTACAGCCTGCCCAGAACTGCCACAGTCAGAGCAAGAGCAGGAGATCTCTGACTTATTTCCTCATGCCTTCTAACCTGTGCAGGTAGTCCAAATGCTGCTGAATGACTTCAGCAGCCTCTTTACCCATTATGAATCCTAGATATTGGCCTGCTCCTACTGTGCTAAGCTGACTTCGATAACAAAGAGAATGGTAGGACACTCCATTTTTTTTTTAAGGAGAAAAACTATTTTAGGGGTTGGTTGTTATGATTTTGAGGTTTCTTTGTTAGGGGAACCTCCGACTATTTTTCACGTTAGAAGGATGGGGGAGTTAAGGGGGTGAGTTGGAGAGTTTCTGTTTGGAGAGCTGCAATCTTTAAATACTATTACCAAAAGAAATTTATCATCATCTTTGTGGTTCTGGATTGAGTAGGGGCTTAGGAGGATAGTTCCCACCCCTTTTCTTGCATATATCTGATCATGTCACTGCTCATCTCAAGAAGCTTACCTGGCTCCCAACTGCCTCTAGAATAAAATACAAACTCTTATGTTTAGCGTTTAAAGCCCTTCACAATCTGTTCTCCAACCTACCTGTTCTAGACTAAGTTCCCATGAATCTCTTTCATGTATTCTCCTACTGTTTCCCATCCAGGTTTTACTTCCTGCATCTGCTCTTGTACAAGGGCCATAGCTCATCCAGATAATTCTCTTTTTCCTACCTTTGGTCTCTTAAATTCCCTAGCTCTCTTCAAGGCTAAGTGCAAATGTCATCAATAGAAGGCATATTCTGTTCCCCTCCTCACCCCCCCACTCCAGTTTTCAGTGTTCTCCTTTCCTTGAACATCATCTGGTTTATTTTTATATGTACTTATCTATATAATTGATTCCCCCCCCCATAGAATGTAAACTCTGTGAGAGAGGTGATTATTTCATTTCTATCCTTGTAACCCTAGCACCTAGCATAGTTCCTGAAACATAGTGGGTGCTTAATAAATGTCAATTGAATGAATGAATCAGGTAAGTAGTCTAAGTATTGTTCATCCCATTTTGCAGATGTGGAAACTGAGTGTCTGAGGGCTTAAGTGGCTCACTTTTCATCACTCAGCTGGTAAATGTCTGAGAAGGGATTTGATCTTAAGCCTTCTGATTTGAAGTTTAGCATTCCATCTACTAGGCCATAATACCTGAAAAACCTTATGATTACCTCATGAAAACAAAGGTAGTATCTTGTGTCATATATTCAGTTTTAATATTTTCAAAACATATTCATATCCATTATCTTCTTATGGTAAGTCTAGGTGACAGATAAGGCACCTGCCTTTGAGAGATGAGAACTTTAAGAAGGCAAGTGAAGTTTAAGTCATTTGCGTGGTTTTACAACTTGTCATGTCAATAAGGCAAGTTTTTTTTTGGCCTAGACCACACTTCTTTGACTACTGATGTTGTAAAGCAAGAATAACGTAGCCAAAGCACACCTCTCTATTTATCTAAAGTCCAGGGCATCTAAAACTGTCAGAAAGAAAATCTGAAATTTATTTAAAAATATATGTGTGTATATATATGTATATGTGTGTGTGTGTATATCTATATATATATGTATATATGAGAAATGGATTTTAATGAGATATGACTAGAATGTATCATGTGTGCTTGTGCTCATTTGGTGATAGACTAAAAGAAGAAAGGTAATTAAATAGGATAATATCATCACTTACATGTGAAAAGGACTCACTTGTCAAATTGAAGCATCACAATTTAAATCTCCTTCACTACAGGAGAATCTCAACAATAGTACTTAAAAATTTTAAATATTCATTTTCGTTGAAAGCCTATTATAAAAGACTTTAAGACTGTTCAAATATTTTATTATGTAAGAATAGATTTTGAAAATGACTTCTAAAAGGTTTTTTTTAACCATATAAAGCATTGAAGAAAAACATCAAATAATTTCTTTTGAGATACAGGGAATTAAAAAGTCTAACTCAACAACAAGAATCAAGCAAAAATTAAGGAGAAAGTAGAGAAGAGCAGTGAAAAATCTGTCTTCGAGCTTTTTTTTTTTTCCTTTTTTTGGCTCTAGGAGCGACCCACTTCGTGTCGAAATGGGCAAGTTCAAGAAACCCGGGAAGGTGGTGCTGGTCCTGGCCGGGTGGTACTCCGGGCGCAAAGCCGTCATCATCAAGAACATTGATGATGGGAACTCCAACAGGCCCTACAGCCATGTCTTGGTGTCAGGTATTGACCACTACCCTCGAAAAGTGACTGCAGCAGTGGGCAAAAAGAAGACTGCAGATCAAAAATCAAGCCCTTCGTGAAAGTTTATAACTACAACCACCTCATGCCCACCAGATACTCTGTGGCTATCCCATGGGACAAAACAGTCATCCACAAGGATGTGTTCCATGACCCTGCACTAAAACATAAGGGGAGGAGGGAGGCCAAGGTCAAATTTGAGGAAAGGTACAAGACAGGCAAAAACAAGTGGTTGTTCCAGAAGCTACAGTTTTAGAACTACTTTGTTGGCCAGTAAATAAAATATTTATTAAAAGTGGAAAAAAAAAAAGAAAAATCTGTCTTTGAGAGAAACTAGAGACAAGCTGCCTACAGTCTACTTCAGTGATTCCTCAAATACTATTCTTCAATGACTATAACTCCCAGAACCTCAGTTTTGCATGGGAGCTCAAAGGCACTGTGGTCTAACAAGTCCTTGACC